TGGAATATGTAATTAATCTAAGCTTCTAATTTGGGTTTTCTCTTTTGTCTCTCAATTCGATAGAGTTACGTAGATTTTTAAATGGATTTTTTGGTGTTTCTTGGCTTGCTTCCTTCTCTTTTTTTGTTTTATTCTACTTAATTTTGAACTTAAATTTCACTTTCTTTCTAATCTAGGTTGACTCATATAAATGAATCAATATATCAAGAGGAATTTGCTAAATTAACTTAGTTTGAATTGATTAGTTTTATGTTCTGTTACTGTAAGGGTATTTTCTATGTAGAAAATCTAAAAGTTTCCTCTGTTTTTTTTCTAATACAGATAGTCTTTTAATGATAATAGGAGATTTGAATAGCTTCATGCTTAGTAGTTTAAGTTAAACAATAAAAATATGAAAGTTTAAATAAATTAAAGATATGAAATCAAGAAAGAATAAAGTTAGAATTTGGCAGGTCTTCTATTTCATCATGTGCTTTAATGTTAGATTTGTTGTGATCTAGAAATTGATACTAATAGTTGCCCCCGGTTGCAGATGTTTATAGAAATCCGGTTTCCTCACAAAAGATTTGATTCTAACATAAAATTGATACTAATATTAAAAAGTAAATCTTTATATTATTTAATAATTAATTTTTTTTAAATTATAATATTACATATATTAATTAATTTAATAATATAATTTATGCTACATTGTTAATATTAAATTTTTATTCTAAACTTTCGTCTTCCCCTATCATTACTCTTGTCAGATTACTTGACTTATTTTGGTATTTTTTTATAGAAAAAGAAAAACACCTAGAGCGCTTGGGCATTGGATGGTGGCCCAATGCCGAACACTTGTTACAGCATTGTTTGTGCTCAACCAGTGAACAGTTCACCGCGCTTTGTTGTATGTCTCAAGGTTAACTAGATAATAAAAATAAACTTTTTAAAGCTTATCTAATTTATATTTTAAAAATATAAGTTAATAATGTAATAATTATATATTTTTACATTAATTATTATTAAAAAATACAAAAATTATCATTAACTTCATCATTAGTATCATTTAAACTATTTTAATTAGATAATTATTTAAATAAAAATTAATTTTATTTTTTTAATAGCAATTAATGTGAAAAAATTGCAATAATTACTTCCTGGTTAGAAAAATCCTTACTTTTAACAGATAAAACATATACAAGCAACTAGATGGCCCTTATTTGTTTAATTGATCAATGACAAAGTAGGTGAACAGTGGCTTGTCTCAAACCCTTTTATTGCTTATCTTCCAAAGCCTCGAACATCCAAAAGAAAATTATAGAGAATGAAGGGACTAAAAAGGCTTCTGTTACATTAGAGAGAGCATTAAATCAACCATCTGCAGCTTTCATATGGGCATGCCATTTGCATCCAAGAACTTCAAGACAAAACACATTCTAAGAGAAGAATGTTTGTATGTCTGTCTTTGTCATACATTATTGTTCAATCAAACGATAATGAGGACCTAAGAAAGATTCTTCCTCCCAATATTCTAACCTCTGTCTTTGACCCTCCCCAAAACCAAGTGAAAAGAAAAAGGCACCCATCTTCTCCAAAAGCTACCAAAGGGGCTTTTGGGGGCAAAAAGCCAAAGCATCCTCTAATCTATCATGCCTCCACACATATCCTTCCAAGGTCGAGTCTTAAACTCAACTTTCTTTGAACATATACTAACCTAATATTTTAATTCATCATGTCAAAAAAAAAAAATTATTGAAACAATATAATATATTTCACTTTTCCCTTTTTTAAGTATAAAGATTAACATTTTTTACTTAGTTGGCAAAACTATATATATATATATAAACTTCTTGCTTTTAATAATAAAATTTGTTATTTTTTTATCATTGATTGATTTAAGTTGAATACTTGTCTTTTGCTAATACTTATATAAATTTTTACATTGCGCATCAAAAACAAAGATAATTAGTAAAATACTTAGAAATGTTCATAAAAAATATATATATATATAATTACTAGGCCTGAAGAATATAAAGAAATACTAATCTTATATATCTTGCCTCTACATTTTCTTACCTAAACTTTATTGAGTTTAATGCGCAAGTATTTTGTAATTTAAACTATAAAATACCAACCACTAAATTAAAGGACTCTCACTCATTAATTATTATTAAGGAGCCTTTTACTCTCTACTAATTAATGATTGTTGATCTTTAAATCTAAAAAGGGAAAAAAGAAAAAAAAAAAAAGAAATCGGCCTCAATTATGTTTTGCACCTTTTGTTGGCAATAAGAAATTAACTAAAAGGCAATAAAATGTTTCTGTGATATTCCTTATTCAATTCTTTTGATAGCATTTCTTTAACAAACTTTCAAAGAAAATTAACCCATTATATATGTTTGATTTATTTGATATTTCCTTTGGTTGGAGCAACTTATACTTCTCATTTTC